AAACAGTTTCGCGCGTGTTCAATAATTGTAGTTAAGGACAGTTTTCAATTTTTTCAGTTAGCGTCAGTTCATCGAGTAACTTTTTTTTTGCCTTTTTCGTTTCTTTTTCATTTCATTGGGTCGCAGTTTCTTACCGTCGTTCACATGATTGTGGCTCACGGGCTCAACAGCCTCCTTGAACCAATTTTTCAGTTATAAGGTTTAATATTTAATCCTAAAATGAAATACCATAAATTTGATATGTCTTTTAAAGCTATACAGACTTGTTGTTTTTTGTTGTATCCTATCTGTATATTTCTTTTAAAAAGATCTAGTGGTGTTTTCGTGATGACCGGTTTGAGTACTTTTTCGCAAGTTTACCATAATTCATCGTGTGACAGCACAACATCAATTTCATGACCAAATTTACGATAAGAAACAAGGAATATGAGCAATAAAAATCATGTTAGTAATGATATGTTGACAACAACAACAAAAGTACCAACCATAAGAGAACGAAGGAATATAATTAATGAGTATTGTTTGGAAGTGGGTGAGTTTGAAACGCGTCTACGGGAACATATCTATGTATATGTAAGAGTACGAGTACATATAAGAAGTAAGAATGATACAAGCAGTGTTTGTGCTAGTCAGTGTACCGTTACTCACATTTGAAAATTTTGACAATCAGCTGATATTTTGCTGACGTCAGATTTTCCAATTACAGTAACGAAACAACGCAAAAACAGTGATTGTTTTTTATATTTTCTATAAATTTATGTATGAATTACGAACTTGTGTCGTAGGTGTTTAGAACAAGAATATATGTATATGGACAAATTTATTTAAGTGTATTTAGTGTCTCTACATAAATGACTGTGAAAGCAAGACTACAGAGCAAAAACTAATTTTGCTTCAAAAAAAATTATACAAAAAAAAAATAATAATAATAATAAAAACCATAAATAAATAAAAAAAAAATAATAAAAAAATAATAAAAATATTTATATCAATGATCTAAAATTTTCGGTGTTAAGGCCAGGTTCCTTAAAAAAAAAGATTTCAAAAAATTAAAATTTTTTTATTCCTGCAAATTGCTAGAAAATACTCTTAGAAATAATATAGAAAAAGGCCCGAAGGTCCAAAAAATAAGTATGGAAGAGGGGCGGGTGGAGCACGCCAAGCGTTAATTCCGGCCGCTCGATTATTTAAATCGCCTTTTTACTCGAAACCATGTTTTTTCAACCGGGGCACACTTTTATTTAGAAACTTGAACTTGAACTATCAACATGAACTAAACAGCATTTCACTCCTCAAATGTCTCTTATGGTCGGTACTACAACCCAGAATATTCACTTGTTATTTAAAAATGTATAAACAATTAAAATTGAAAAAAGTGTAAACAAATTTATAAAGTCCGTAGTTCCTTTTTTTCATTTTAGTTCCGCTCAAAGCCAATGTATTGTAGTACAGAATAGAAAACCGTTTTGATTTTTGATTTTAAATGATTTGCTTTGTAATTATTGTGTCACTCATCAACCAAAGAGACACGTTTCGGCAGCAATTTTAAGAGTCGTGGTTTAAAAAAATTTTATTTTTAAATAATATCTACAAAAATTGATTCAGAAATATTATTTTTTTTATTAATTAAATTTGTTTGAAAGTCTGTAGGAACCTGGCTTTAACTTGGACTTTTACTCTTTTTATTTTTAATTAAAATTCTACAACTGCAATAAAAGTAAAGACAACTTTTCGTTAGAGTTCCATATAAAAGTTGAAACTTTTAGGTTCGATTATGCAAAAATTAACACTCCCTAATAAATTTGCTTTGACGTATTATACCTACATACATACAAGTGTGCTAAAAGGAAAGCATAGCCAACTCGACAAGGACAACCGCATAATTGCCATTTATATTCATTAAGTGTTAATGCTGGCACAGACAGAGCAATAACTGTAGCTCAACAGTCATCGCCAATGCCAAAGCAATCGTGATGTGCGTTGAGGACAGCGCTGATGTCCACTTCTGATTGCTGATTATTGTGTAGATTGCTGATTGCTGTTGTCTCTTGGTTGGTTGAGTGATTTGGTTTGGGCAATGAGGCATCCCTTGCTGAAAGCTTGACACTTCGCATGGTGATCTTGGTGTGTTAACTAACATTTCGATTAAAAGCTACCATCATGACTGCGAAATGGCTGTCAGTGCCAAATAGTGAAGATATGAAAATACTGCTCATTAGAGTAGGCAGAAATTAAGCTGATATGGGCAGATGTGCTGTTGGCGGAAATTGATGTTTTCACTCATTTTTCTAAGGACGTTGGACGAGTGTATATATTTGATTGCGTGCACTTGAAGAAGAAAATTTCCCATGAGGAGCAAAAATATTAAGAAGAAATATAAGTTCAAATTCTGAATTTTGTTTTTGATATAAATTTAAAACATTTTATCTCATTCGTGTAAGATATTCTTTTTTAATTTTCTAAATTGAAAGAAACTATTTTTTTTAAATAAGAATTCAAAGGATGTTTCGCTATGATGTCTAGATCATGATTAATTATAATTAATTGAAAAAATTCCAGATAATACAAGTTTAGCCAAAGGAAATATTATTTCATTAAAAGTGTTACGATTAAACAGCTTGTGCTGTCTAAGCGTTCGGCCTAGGAGGGAGAGCTTATTGAGAAGTAAGGAACCGAATGGCTCTTGAAGGAGTTGGGTGGAAAGCTCTATTAGAAAAAATATACGTTGGTGCGATTTGACCATTTTTTCTTTAACATTTTGAGTTCCATTGCTTGGAGCTGATGCTGTGTTTCGATGGGAGTTTATTATTATTATTGGCTGTTTAAAAAGTGTTGGAGTAAGAGAGAGCTGCTTGGAATTATTGGCATCTCCAAGCTACTGCAGGTAAGCATCAGTTTGAGATCGTCAATTTGGTGGGATGTTCGAGGTGTGCAGTCCAATGTGCTAAAAGGCAATTGGTGGAGACGAAATCCCTGAATAATAAATCAAAAAATGGAAGAAAGCGTCTAACCAGTAAACGAGAAGACCGAATACTTATATGCGAGTCTCTCAAGGATCGCAGAAAATCTTGCCTACCCTTCCAGCTGCCCTTTCGGATAAATTTAGTAAACCAGTTAGAGCTCGAACAGCTAGAATAAGTCTTCCGGAAGCAGTTTTAAAAGAGTGTAAAGCCCGAAAGAATAGGAAGAAGATTGGTGGAATGTTCTGTGGTCTGATGAATCAAACTTCGAGGTAAGCTTAAAGTATTACAAGCCAACGCTTCTTACCCTAGAGCAATTTTGAAGTCATAATACAAATCTTATGAAAACATTATTTTTTCTTTTCTGCAGATATTTGGAACACCTGGTGTGACGTTCGTGTGTTATTTCAGTCATAAGGTCATTTGCTCAATTATCAGATTTTTAAAGTTTTACATTATCCTTTAAGAAGATGTAGAAGATTCCTCCAGCTCGAATGATAAGATGTACTTAACAGTGATAGGGAGTACCGTTAGAAATTTTCAGGTTGTTGTTGCTGTTATTGTTTCGACAAGTCTAATCCCGTTTGGGAGCAGGCAAGATCATTCTAAGTCATCGTGGTCATATAAGGGTAGATCCAGGAAATGAGCTGCTTCGACGTGCTCGGACAAGAGGAAAAGTGGTTAGTATCGTGCGGGTTCTCATTGCATGCAGGACATGCGTTAGTTATATCGGAGTCGAGTTTCATTAGGGAGAGTGTTAATTAAGTGCAGTATTATGCGGGACTCTTGAACCAATTAGAGCTTTTCATCTACAATGGGTGAAGGTTTGACTCCGAGACTTGCGTTCACTGGAAGAGAGTTTCAGAAGGTCTTAACGGACTCTCAGTGGCGTTTAATGCCTGTTGGTAAGCCTTCTTGTGCAGCGGTTCTTGTATGTGATGCTTTTGTGATGCTAAAAGCAGTCCTTATAGTCGACTATTCCCTTTGTGATATGTAAAGGTAGTGGTTCGGCTTCTAGTAAGTGTCTGTTGGGGTTCAGCAGATGCTTCGCTGTGCAAGTGAGGTTTTCTGGGAATTAGGAGGCATCCTGCAATGGTCGGTGTTTTGCCAGGCTTGTAGCTTTGTCATCTGTGTCATCCAAATCGGAGCAGTATAATTAACGGCTGGTCAATCAATTGCCTTGTAGGTTGCCAGCAATAATTCTTTGTCCTTTCTCTAGGTGCCGCTGACTAACGGTTTAACGATTTATTTGCGGCTCTGGAGTTTTGTTCGAAATGCAGTCGTATGCGAAGTAAAGATGTTTAGGCTGTCGAATGTGACTCAAAGTAACTTCGGACTGTTTGTTGTCGGAAGTTTTACGCCATCGATTTTCAGTTTGAGTTTGGGCGGGTAGACTTTCATCAAGCTGTTGGAAATATCGTGTCATCTACCGGACGAATGGTCACATGTAGGCCAACAAGCTTAATTTTTATTTAATTACCAGTAACGAGACAAACTTGCCTAAATCAACTAAGTCGACTTGCTGTTCCGATAGATATAAATAATCGATAAATATTCCTTTCCAAGGTGTAAGCGTTACTTCACTTAATTTATGTTTAATGTCAGAATTCAACCACAAAATATTGAAAGCATTTAAAAAATAATTGCGCTTGCAACACAGACATATCTCTGCTGCTGCTGCTGCTGCTACCTACTGCTGTTGCTGATGAGTACAAATTTACACTAAAACAATATGAAGCGATGTGTCTATTGTAATGAAGCTGAACTTACTGTGACCTCTGCGCACGACGATGAGGTGACGTTGCACTCTAACGGCACTAACTACTCGACTTTTAATTCAATTCTTCGTTTTTTGTTTGCATAATTTCTTTATATTTCCGTTACTCTTACACACCACAGAGGCGTGAGTGGAATTCAAATTGTCAACAACACTTCCGACTGACTCTCCCCCACTACGTCATTTCTATAGTTTGCCGCTTTACCTGACTACCAACAATAGCAACAACTTCCTTACAATACCAATAACAAGTTGCTACTCACCTGATGGCAATGCTCTTCGACTTCAAATTATTCCAACGCTGATTCATTTCATCAAGGCGACGCTGCAACATAACGGCATCTTCTTGCGAGGTGAGTGAACCCAACAATTTGCGGCCGGTGCCATCGAGACGATCATAAACGACACGATGGGTTTCAATTTCCGATTGTAAGTCCTGTCAAATGCGAAAGGTGTGTGAAGCATGGCGGTAAAGAAATGAGAAAAAATTAAAAAAAAAAAACTAGTTAGTAAAGAACTGTGACGGGGGGGAAATGTTTTGTAGCAATAATACAATAAAATGGCATGGATACATATAAAATATTGCATAAATTTAGGCGGCACAGCGCGCTTCAGCAGAACACTATTGTTGTTATTCATAAAGGCAGTGCGCTGGGATGTTGATGAATGCTGTTAGTTGTTGTATTTTCTTTATAGCAACAACTACAACAACAAATATACAACTTTTATTTACCGTTGGTATGCTTTTACTGTTATTTTTAAATTTTTTTCGAGCATTTTGTTTGCTGCCTTATCGTAAATCGTATGGTTGACGAAAAGGAAAAGCAAAAATGTAAAGATTATGGCAAAATGTCGCGCATATGTCGTACGGTATGGAAAAATATGCCCTGGGAATGTAATGCTTGTAAGGGTAAGAGATGGAATAGCGTGATAAGGAACATGAGCGTAGCGGAAACACTTACAACTCGGCCGTGCAAACTGAATCGCTCACTGATTGGCAGTCTTGGTGCGCCAAAGTATTGTTGTGAAGTGTTACAAAATATGCAAATTACGGTAATAAAATCATTTTAGATACAAATATACTACATAAGCGCAACATATGTTTATCTCTCTATTTATTTCAATATCTACTTATAAATTTTAAAAGTTTTGAATTTTAGATTTTTGAATATTTATTCATTTGCAAATTGAACATTCAATACTGAATGTTGTAACCAGATGTGAAGCAGTGAAAGATTGTTGTACGGAATTTTAATGGATTTGAAAAATTTAAATACGGACGGCGAAAGTGTTAACATTTCTGGGAGTTTCGAAAGAATACAAAATTTTAAAAATTTAAGGTATGCATTTCAGGTCATAGCTCTGTTTAACTGTTTTAAATCTTGCCTCTTTAGGAAGCTAAATAAATCCGCAGAGAAGTAACAACTTTCCTTCAATTAAGCTTAAAAACCTGAAATTTAGTTTTCTTCTGCGAAATAGTATTTTAAGCCAAAAAAAAAAAAACACAAATTTCCTAGGCTGTTTGGGAAAATTTAAACAAAATGTTTATTCTCACGTAATAAGTGGTCCTTCGGTATACTGTCAGGGATATGAAATTTCAAGCAATGCTTGTTTAAAATTAAACTTCTTCTTCAGCTTCTTCACTTGGGCACCGCTAACGCGATAATCGCTGAATAAAGAAGAGTGCGCCATTCGGTTCTTCTTTCCGCTCTTTGGCGTCATTTGGAAATGAAACCAGGTCACTGTCTAGTTGAATGGAGGCCTTCCTCTTCTTCTGCTTCCACCTGTCTCTTCTACCCCTGAACCATATAAATTTCACCGTCATTCACGCTTCTGCAACATACACATTGTAGGACACGAACGTTGAGTGAGAGAGTTTAGTTTTCTTTCGTCGGGAGAGGACTTTACTTTTCAATTGCCTACTCAGTCCAAAATAGCACCTGATGGCAAGAGTGTTTCCTAGTTGGATTTCCAGGCTGACATTGTTGTTGGTGTTAGTGCTGCCCCTAGATAGACGAAATTATCTACGACCTCGAAGTGATGACTGTCGATAGTGACGTTGTAGCCGAGTCGCGTATGCGATGACTGTTTGTTTGATGAATTTCGTCATAAGCTGATATTTCGGCTTGTCCTCATTCGCTACCAAATTCATATTCTTCCCTTCCTTATCCAGTCTGGAGTAAGCGGAACAAACGGAGCAGCTGTGAAGGTCATCGGCATAGGCCAGCAATTGTACACTCCTATAAACGATTGTGCTTTTTCAGCTTTTGCAACTCCTATTATTTTCTCCAACTTCAAATTGAAGAAATCACATGATAAAAAGTCGCCCTGTCTGAAACCTCGTTTGGTATCGAATGACTCGCATCCTGATGGAGCTTCTGGTTTTGCCCAGCGTCAGTTTTTTTATAATTGGCGCTTTGTAAACGCTTAGGCGATTTTCGGAAGAGCTCCCCCTCCAATTTGTGGTTTCGCGTCTTGATGTTTTTCCAACGAGGGGCGACCGCTAATAGAAAATTTAACTTAATTTTTTATTTAAATTAAATTTTCATAACTTTTGAATGTTGATGGCACCGTGGAATAAGACCGAGCCTTCCGAATGTCAGTACGCAATATTGTTTTACTGAACGTTCTTGGTTCGAAAGAAATTTGTCAGAATTTCTAGGAAGTCTTTCGTATAGATTTTGAAATGGATTAAATTTGCCGATTTTTTAATAAACGTTTGTTACTTAAAATTGCAACCGTCAACTTGCTAAAACTTCATGCAATTAATTGTAATTTTTTACTTTCTGCATCAGCATTACTTATTTAAGTTGGCCCATCCTTTTCTGTATATGTGATAGAGATTTCAAACAGATTTGTGCCGCTGTCGAGGACCTTTTCCTAATTGAGTTGGCATGAGAAAAATACATCATTTCATTTTGGTTCGGCCCATCCAATTGTTTTGCCCTTGAACATCTGATCCACCTATAAATGCACACCATCAAGGGAAGCGGCATCTTCAAAAGACTCCATTCTCATACAACTAATCTTCACAGAATCAATAATTGGTATATACACAACTCTCGGACACCTATAAAACACCTTTACCACGCAATTTTCTTCGAAGCTCACTTGTAACATATTCGTAAATATATTTATATGCGCAAACGAAATAAAATAACCGGTGACACTAAAATGGCATACCGGTTTGATGTGTTGCAAAGCACAAAAGAAGCATGAGCTATAATTTTGACAGAGAAAATCAATAAATGTCTCGCATTTTTAACGGTGACACAGAGTGAAAAGCCCAACATATATTTATAAGTGTTTGTATGATACATATATACATAAGTGTTACTTTATATGCTGCACTGCTGATCATTTCAATTTCAGCCACTCAATATAATCGACGTATTTACTTATATGTACATACATACATACATGTAAATATGTGTGCAAACGAATATTTTTGGCAAATGAAATTTATGCGCCAGCGAGATGACATAGAAACGGACAACCGTGCGAAGCCAAGCAAACTGGCGCGGTTACCGTAGAGAAGGAAGCGAGTGCACCGAAAATAAAATAAAAATAAAAAATATCACTACATTGAAACCATGAGACACCTGAATATTTTTAATTCGAAAACTGTCCAAAATTGTTCTCCATACTTGCTGAAAAACCAATACAAGTGGAACAGTAACGCGCAAGTACCTTGCCACCATCAGTGCCGCAGAACAGCTATATCTCGACCTACTTATTCCGTTACTTTCGGGACGTTTTCGAGCACATGTGCACCACACGCTAACTGCCTTTTGGAAATGCTTAAATTATTAACCACAACGAAATATTTTGTGAGCTCAGTTATAGTTTAGAAATAGACCCACCCACCACAGCAAGCACTCTTTCTCCGCCTGCCTATTTAACGCCCACTCATAATATTTCGGAGAAAATTTCGTTCGAAATGGCATTAAAATTGTAAACTTTGTCCTCAATGCTGCAACAGCAGCTAGAGCGGCTACAGTGGCAGTTTGATCAAATAAAAACCCAAGAGCAAAAACAAATAAAATCAAATGGAACAACAAATGTAAAGGTAAAAGTGGAAATGCCATCAATAATGCTCAGAAACACGTCTCTCTGTCGCATCGCAGGTGTGCCCACTGTAAAAGTGGGATTTTTGCGGATTTGCCCATTTAAAATTTTATGTCGCTACTCAAAGCTTTAAGTTGAATGGCTTTTACCTGTCAAGTTCCATGCTTACAAAAGTGTTTTTGAATGTGTGCTTTGTGTTAAGTAGATTGGAAAAGAGCAAAGGACATAAATTTGACACATCAAAGTCAGGCTTTGGTAAAATTTACAGGAAAGGGTTTCTTGTACAGAGATTATTGGTCTTACGAAAAAGAAGTTTCTTTTTGAATACAAAGAAGCATTGAAGTTATTTAACTTTTACCTCTTTCTTCATTGGTTTTTACTCATTTAAAGGGTTGATTCAAATAATAACAAGGAAAATTTAAGAAGAAAATAAGAAACTATTTATATAATTAAACCAAAAATATAATAAAAAAATTAAAATAAAAAAAGCAGAATAAAATTAAATAATATAAAGTAAAACAAAATAAAATAATTTAAAATAAAATAAAATAAAATTAAATAATATTAAAAAAAAAATTTATTAAAATTAAATAAACAAATATAAAGTAAAAAAATTAAACAATTTAAGATTAAAATAAAAACACAATATTTAAAATAAAATAAAATACTTTAATATAAGTAGAATGAAATGAAATAAAATTAAATAAAGTAAAATAAAATTAAATAAATTGAAGTAAAGTGAAAAGAAAAGTAAAATAAAATTAAAGAATTTTAAATAAAAAATGACAAAATAAAATTGGAATCATAATATAAAATAAAATAATTAAAAAATACTAAAAAACAACTTAAGATTAAAATAAAAAAATCAAATAAAAAATATTAATTTAAAATCAAATAAAATAACATAAACTGAAACAAATTAAATAATATAAAAAATATATAACATAATAAATTAAAATAAAGTAAAATAAAATAAATTAATCTCAATTAAAATAAAGCAAAAAAAAAACAAACTAAAATAAAATAAAAAACTTACTAAAATAAAAAAAAATAATATTAAATAAAATACAGTAAACCAAAATAAAAAAGAATAATATAAAATAAGCCTAAATTAAATATATTAATTCCAAAAATATAATAAAATCAAATAAATTAACATAAAATTAAGAAAAAAAAACCTTAAAATAAAGCAAAATAAACTAAAAAAAAAATAAATAATAATAAACAAAATAAATCAGATTAAAACACATAATTAAAAATAAAATAAAATAATATAAAATAAAATTAAATAATATTAAATGAAAATTTTTTTAAAAATTTAAAACATAAAATGAAATATCATAACTCAAAAATACTAAAAAAACAACT